AGAAAAAGCAGTGCTGTCTTTTTTAAAACAGAAGAAAGGAGTGGTAATAAATAAATAAATGCACCCTTTTAATAGAAGCGTAGCCATATTTTTCTCAAAACCGTAGGAAATTACTATCCTACAAAGTCTTCCTGCTATAAATAGTTCCAATCTTGAAACAAAAGTTTTAAACCGCACACCAGATGCTGGGATGCTAGCGGTTTCCCTTGCTGTGTGACATAATTATAAGGTCCGAAAGCAAAAGCTATAGAAGTATAATAATAATACTAAGGCGACTGCTGAGGGGAAATACAAGGGAAGCAATGCCTGCTTTATTTAGAGCGAGCTGCTCGGGGGTCTTTTGAGGCCGCCCCCGTCTCACCCCCTCGGCGGCGGTTCGCTGGGAGCTGGACCCCCGGAGCCGGGGCCGGGGCGGCTATTGCGGTCCAGCGGAGCAGAAGGGAAAGGGAAAAGGAGGTGAAACCCAACAAAGCGGAGCCCCAAACCAGCTCACACCTCCCTCCTTCCCTCCCTCCCTTTATCCTTCCCTCCCTCCCTCCATCCCGGCCAGGCTTGCTGCATCCCAGCCGTGTCCCCCGCTTCGCCCCCGGTGAGCGGGGAGAGCCGGGCACGCTGCGGTGCTTCGCTTCTCTCCCCTTCGAAAGTTATTTCAGTGCTTAATGGATAGTAGCCTAGAGAACTTGTGGTGTTTATCTTGTGGGTAAATATACTCCTCTGGCTTACTAATGGTAGCTTTTGAAGATTAAAGCACAGCAGAGCCTGTTCGAGCATTGTCTGCTGGTGTCTGTTGCTGCTACCCTCTCGCGCTGGTGGGGAGGATGCTTCCCAAGCTGCTGTTTCGTGAGCTGTCGTGCGCTGTCAACGGTTATGTTAATTTTGCCCGAGTTCTCTATCATCTTTTGGCTATGGCAACAACCCCTCGGCCTCGGAGCTGCTGCTCCTTCAGGGACAGAGGTGAACCTACCAGGGGCAACATGTGGTGGGCGAGCAAACCGAGCGCAGGGTGTCCGTGCTCCGTCTCGCTGGGTGCGTGCAGGGAGCGGGGGGACACGGCGCAGCTCGGTTATTCTGCTCGAAAAGCGAAAATCCCCTCATGATGAAGTGGGATTTTTGGAATGAAAAAGGCAGTGATGAAATGAAATTTCATTTTCAGAACGGAAAAGGCGCCGGGGCCTCAGTGTTTTGCGTGCACTAGCTGGGAGAAAAAGTTAAATTACAGTAGACTACATCCAAAATTAGTTTAAAGAGCCAACTCCTTTATAAAATTGATATCTGTATTGTAAGTATGCTATCTGATAAAGTGATCTTCTTTGGTGTGCTTGCCTACTAACCTTTGGCCCTCTGAGACGCTGTAAACACTTTTACAACCAGAGCAATTAGTGTCTGACTTTTCGAAAAAGAATACTGACTGCAGCTAGGGTAGCTGGTAGTAGGACGATTGATGCATTTTAATGCACTGGACGTATTTTGGTAAGCCAATTACTTATTTAAAGTATAAAACTGACATTTAATAATATCGATGTAATTAGTATAAATGTCTAAAAACCAGGATTATATAGAATACTGTCTGGCACCATTTCTTGCAGCGCCTGTTTGAGCACGCAGGTGTCTGTACACATATACAGATTCAGCTTATTCTAATGAAGATGGTGCTAGTCTAACTTTCTATTTGTGTACTCCTTTCACTGTTCACCTTCTTTAGGGTTGGATGCATTCACCAGCAACAGGAGAGTCAGTTCTTAAGCAGCTTGTTTTGGGGATTATCTGCTGGTACATAGATGGAGTTAATTCAGTGATTTGCTATAAAGCTATCGGGAATAACTCATAAGAGAGAGTGTGTGTATGTAGTAATAGTAGCATAGATCTTCAGGGGGCTACGTATTCTAACACTGTAATACAACAAATAGTTTATATTAGTGGATAGATGGAAATGTAGAGAGAGAAAAATCCGCTGCACGTTTTGCATCCGTTCTGCTGATGCTCTCCTGTCCTTACAATTCCACATCCCTTACAACAGGGCTTCTCCATGCTCCTGGGAAGCGGGTTTGAAGGAACGCATATTTTTCATATGCCTACGGGAAAGTACTCATGCCTAATCCGGCAAGATTAGGACTTCTGGAGACGGTCCCTGAAGCTTGTCTCTTGGTCTGTGCAGTGAGGGAGGGAGCTACGGGAAGGTCCTGCGGTGCGGACCCTGTGAGCGAACGGCGGGCACGGCTTCCCCGTTAATAGCAACCAGCGAGACTGATGCTCCCACATTAGCTGATACAGTCAGGGCTACATGATCCATCCCACTCTCCTCATTGCGGTGAGATCAGGGCTGTATCGACCTCTGTGATAAAACTGGGTGCTACGGACACAGGTTTGTCCCTGGCTTAGTCACTGGATTGCAGCATCGATCCGTAATTTCCCTGCTTTTGCACCTTATTCATTTTATAACTGAGATCTTGCGCTCTTCAGGGCAAGCCTGCTCTCTCGACCTCTATTTGTGCAGTGTCCTGTGCCCAAGGAGAGCTCAGCTGAGACCCTTCGATACTCCTTGTATGTGGTACCGTAGCAATAGTCATCTATAAGAGGGTTTGGAATAGGACGTTGACTTTACCATCCCGCAGAGAAGTGTTGGCTTAGAGACAGAACAGGTGAACCTCCAAAGGGTTATTTGTTATTTTCAGGCTCACCTAAAGCTTTTGCTTAGCAGAGACATGAAAGATAAAGAATGTTTGCCTGCTGGGCTGCCGTGATCACCACGAGCTTGGCTTATTTGCCTGATACAGGCTACTTCCATGTGCTGAAGCTGCCACGCAAAGATGTGAGAGTGATTGTGATTTCACTTCTTGGTAGCTCTGGAAGATAAAGTCCATCATTTCTCTGAGAGACCCAGACTAAAATTCCCTGTTTAAAACCACGGAGCAAATCTGTGACTGGCCACCCCTCTCCCTGCCACAGTCTGGGCCAAACACCCAAGTTCTGAATATCTTTGAATCCAAATGCATTTGGATGCAGGCACCTCCCTCAATCCTCTGGGGCAAGCAGGTTCTGGGAATTAGATGTCTAGCACGCCTTAAAATTGAAAGAGAAGTAATGACTTAAATAATTAGAAGGAAAGGTGGCAGCATTCAGAATTTGAAGGATAACAGTGTGGAACTATCACATTATTTACATTATTATTACATTATTTCATGTTGCTTTACACCCACTTGTTATTTTAGGTTAGTAGTATAACAAGTGGGTATAAAGCAACATGAAATATTCAGATGAGTAGGTAAGATTAAATGCAGATACGCTCGCATTCTACACAAAGAACAAGGCTAATCCCTCGGAAGACAGTCTTTCAAAGGAGGTGTTGAAGAGCTAAACAGAGCGAGCTGCAATTATACAGTTAGACTGACAAACACATTTTATGCAATGGAAAAAATGCAGCGTGTGTACCTGGCAATACGGTGTGCTAAAGGTAGAATGGTGCCGAGTGTTTTCTCAGTGCACGGGACCGCATAATTTGGACTGAAATACTGTCAGAG